AAGCTGATTTGAAAAAGGCAACCTGTAGATCACAAAGTCTAGAAGATCTTAGCATTTATGACTGGCTGGGCCTACTATTGAAACCTAATAACAACCAGAAAGAATCCAGTTGTATAAAATATAATCACCAGAAGACTTAAAGCAAAACAGGTGACTTCTAACATAATGCTTTCAGAGCCAGGCCCTGTTGTGTCTATAACTCAACATCACATTTATTTTTGTGAAGGGAACGGCCCCTTCTTGTCTAGGTTAACCCGCACACCTAATTATAGCAGCATCCACGTTGCTGGTGATAGCAGATATGGTCTCCTATGCAGGGGATTATCTCGTGGCTGAATGGTTTTGAGCCAATTTAAACAAAACCAAACCGACTTACTTCATTCTTCAATCATCACTAATTAAAGACACTCTTCTGCAAGAGGTAGGCAAGGCCTTTGCTTTCTTTTAAAGTTGCAAACATGCCCTGGAATAAAGACTGCTCAGAGATGGTTTCTATTTATGAACATAAGATACAGCTGCAACTTTGCAGGCATTTCGGAAAAGCTCAGTTGAAACTGCTGAAAAGGAACATCAGAAACAGAGCCGCTGTGCCATCTTCCCCCTGCTCCTAGGACTCCTCTCTCCTCTGATTCCCTGGTGCCCACTCAAAGGGCTGTTGGCAGTTACCATTTTACTAAGCACCTGAAGAGTCAGCATTGTTTTAACAATAATTACAACAACAGTAGTTAGCCCTTCCATGGCTCTCATCTCACACCTGGCACTGTACTTTATCTGTATCATGATTTCATCATTTTAACAATCCCCATTGAGGTATTTGTACAGTCCCATTTTACAAAGGAAGAAACCGCACACAGACTGATGAATAAACCTGTTCCGGGGTGTATGTTCTTAACCACCATGTTGTCTGGCTCTATCTCCACTTACTACTTCATCTTCAAAACAAGCTTGAAAGAGAGGTTTTATTAGCTCTATTTTTGCAGATGAAAATATTAAAGGTCAGGGAGATTATAATTTGTCTACATGGGAAGTAGAACCTGACCACAAAGCCCATGTTTCTCCCTCCAAATATACCACACTGCTGCTGGCTAAAACAGGGGTGGGGGTGGGGGAGGGTTCAACAGATAATAGAGAAGAGCCCTGGAAGGTTCAGGGAGGTTCATTTCTAAAAGCTGCATCCCAAAGTGGCTTAGGTCTCAGACTTATGTAGCTCTCTAGCAGGGGACACTGTGACAAAACTAGGGATCATGATCCCCCAAGAATAGGAGTATGAGAACAGATGGTTAATGAGTTTACTGATGCCTTTAGAGCAGCAGTTCTCAACCTGTGGGTCACAACCCCTTTGGGGGTCGAACGACCCTTTCACAAGGGTCCCCTAAGACCATCGGAAAACACATATTTCTGATGGTGATTCATAACAGTAGCAAAATTACAGTTATGAAGTAGCAATGAAAATACTTTTATGGTTGGAGGTCACCACAACATGAGGAACTGCATTAAAGGGTCGTGGCATTAGGAAGGGTGAGAACCACTGCTTTAGAGGGAAGCAGAACTTGGGAAACAATGAAACTACCACAATACTATTAGCAGAGATTGCAGGGTGCTCCCTTTTCCCAGTTGTGAGGCTGCTCTCTCAAGTGGACTCTTCTTTTGCATTTGCAGGGACATAGCCCATGTTTCAGGCCAGAAGCTAATGGTTCCCTCATGGGTTGTGATTTCAGTTATTTGCTACTCCAGCCAAGTGAGCTAAACAACCACAGACAACAGACTTCTTGCCATGTAATTGTTCTCAGAAATGTGGGATGAGAGAAATGAAATAAATTTCCAGCCAAAGGAAAACCTAGCCTTAGGTAGACACACGCACACACACACGTGTGCATGCATACGCACACATTTGTCAGTTGAGCCAAATATATTTTTGATGAATGATTAGCAGGGCTTTCCAAGAATCTGGCAACACAACACTTGAAGGGGTTTTAGTGCAGCCTTAAGATTCATGATTATTATTAACCTCCTTATGTTATTTTGTCCAAATGGGGTTTTCCTTAGGGGGTTTCTAAATAGAGATATGATCACTTTATTCATCCTTAAGTTTGTAGTGCCAAAGATGAAAGCATCCTTATACCACTGGGGGCCTTTCTACATGTCAGAGGGAGAACCTGTTTAGGGGAGAGAACCATGACTAATTCGACTTAATTGCTCACCGCACATATCTAGTGTTGGGAATGCCTTGAGAAAATATATTTTAAATTTAAAAAATAAAATGTTATACAATTTTAATTAGCACTCATTAGAACATATTTAAATGGCCTGCTAACAAAATTTTTCAAACACAGTAAATCCTGTGATGTCAGGACTGTGTCTCATCACTGATGTGATCTCTCTGTCCCCATGCTCAGCAGGATGCCTGGCACATGACTAACACTCAGAATCATCATCAAACAACTACCCTATTATTGGGGTCCCTTCCAGTTGACCACCTTGATGACAACGATGATGACGGCAGGGCTATGTACTTGGGAATCAGTATTCAGTAATCCTCCCAGCAATGCTATCAAGGAGGTATTTTACAGTTGAGGGAAGTGAGGGTGAGTGAAACTCTATAACATGCTTGGTTCACACTAGAACCTGCTCTAAAACATGGTAGAGCTGGGATTCAACTCGAGGTCTCCTTGCTCTGGAATCTGAATTATTAATCACTGTTCCAGACTGCCTGTCTGTATTCGGTGGGAGCTTTGAGATGGTCAACTTGGATTCTTGACTGATGTCAAGAAGAAGAGTTCTTAGGCTATTTCAGCATCATTTTTGGTAGGTGTGTGGCAAGAGGGAAGACTTTCTATTTTAAGCCACACTCTAGTGGAGGTCATATTCTTGGTGACAGAGCCCTGCGGACACTCACCAGTGGTGACTCCAGAATGACTCTAAATTAATCCACAGGTGCCTTTAGTGAGCACTCCCCCAATACAAAGAGAAGCTTTGTTATAAAGTGGGCCTGAGGTTCCTGGACTAGTTCGTAAAAGCCAACTTCACTCATAATTAAAATACAGTGTATCTGTAGCAATAAACTAGTAATTAAACCAGATGAAAAAGAGTACCATTCAATAAGATATAATTCATAAAATTAAGTATGCTGCTCCAGGAAATATAGACTTAATGAAAAGAAAGTTGTTTTTCTTTTTTTAAATGTGAAGGAGACTTTAAAGACACTTTTATAAAGGCTTTTAAACACAGGTAATGCTGGCCCTTTAATTCAAATTTCTCTTTCAAACCTGGCTTTCCTGTTCTTTGTACCTTAGATACAGGTGCTATTACAGGGCACTTTTATACTTGACACCATCACTAGATTGATTTGGTACACATTTAGAACAAAAAGTGGAGGGAGATAAAAGGGAAGGAGGAGGGGGAAGTTTCCTAGTGGGTGTTGGTCTGGACAAGGTGACTAGAGGTGATGAGAGAGGGCCAGGAGAGAGTGCAACAGAGGTGATGTTTGCATAGGGATAAGAAATTAAGTACGTGAGTGCCACATGGGGAACCAGGGCAGGAGGGAAGGACTGGTTGTACACACATCTTGAGGAAGAAGCACAGTTGTGGAGAAGTCAGTCAGGAGTGTACGTGTGTGCACACAACAGTGCCCGAGTAACTGAATTCTATTTGTTCACTTATTCAATTTTTTTTGAGCATCTTCTTTGTGCCCAGCACTTGCTTAAAATAATGCTGGGTCCTCATGGAGCTTACATTGTTGTTGGGAAAAGAGACAAAGAAATAAATATATAAAAAGCAAATGAAATTATAAACAGTGATTAACAGCAGAATAAAAATAAGAGAATTAATAGCAGGAAACAAAGTGGAAGAGAAGTGTCCTGAAGGATGGGATCTGAAAGCCACGCATGAGGAACAGTTAGAGGAAAAGGATTTCAGGGAGAGAGACCAAGAGCCTGGAGGGAAGAAGGAACCTGGCACATTGCGAGCATTGGACAGAAAGCCGGTGTAACTGCAGTTCAGTGGTCAAAAAGGAGAGACAGGTGATGAGTGAGAAGAGGTGGGCAGGGATGGGGCCCTGAATGAGCTCCATGGCCAATGTGATGGGTTAGGATTTAATTCTAAGTGCCTGAGGAAGCCCCTCGTGACTTTTAAGGAAGGCAGTGACAGGGTCACAGGAGCTTCTGTGAAGATGGCTCTGGCTGTTTCTAAGGAGTGGCTGTGTTCACCATGGTGGCATGTGTTCTTCTGTCCCTTTTTACGGGCACTGCACAGACTGGCAAGTAAGACTGTCACTTGCCATTTGGCATTTTACAGCTGGAAGGACATTTGTTGTGAGTAATGGGTTTCGAGACTTTGGGACTTCACAGAGCAGTAGACAATACAAGTGGGGCTCAGAGTTTTGCAACTTTCTATTTGGCTAAAAAGAGTAAAAAACTCAGCTACCATCTGTGATCATTTCATAACAAAAGATATTTTAAAACCAAAAACATAAGGACATAATCTCAGGGGCGGGGGAAAGAATTTTATAGAAAATGCTACACTTTCCTTATATGGTCAGCATTTTGCTTTAGGACCCGTGAAAAAGTCCTTACAGACTGGGTACACATCCACACACCAGTGTTCAGAACTTCAGTATTTAGGAACCACTGACCCCACCCCTGTGCCCCATTTCTAGATGAGACAACTGGAGGGTCAGGCGTCAGGTGGCTCCTCCCTCAGGGTGAGGAGGTGAGTTAAGGGCAGAGAGGTGAGGCCTCTATCCTCTGACGCTGGTTCCTTCTCGTCCCGTTACATCATCATGCTGGGTATTTAGCTAATTTCTTCTGCTTTGCCAAAGTTCAGATACTGGACCATCTATTCCTGTCCACTGTGGAGTACGCTGGATATTTTCCCTTCCCTGCCAACACATCTGAGAGCTAAGATACTTAATAAAAAACAATCATTCAGCAAAACAACTCTCTGCCTGGAGCCCAACAACATGGAATCCTTTTCTCCATGAAGAAGAGCAAGGTGCCTCTCACCTGATCTTCAGATACGCTGCGACTCCAAACACCAGCAACACCACGGCGATGACGGTCACTGTGATGGCGGCGATGCTGCCTGCGAAGGAGGAAAGCCACGGGAAAGAAGATGAGGAAGGGCATTCACTTCAGATCCTTTTGAGTAGAGTCAGAGCTGGAACACAACCCAGGGTCTTATTCTATGATACAAATGCTTTTCATGCTAGGTGAGGTTTTGGTAAATGGCCAGTATTTATTAAGACCTTTTGGCTGGCTGGGAGATCAGAGAAGAGTCCACAGTAATATTTGACTGTCTTCAGAGTGACACCAATCTGTTGCTGCTGCTGCTGTTATTTACAGGGGTGGGGGATTAAAAATTGCCTAAAACCCCATTTTCTTCTTTTATAGGCTCTGGCTCCTCTTTCTATCACTTGCAAAAGATTGGGAGACTTAGGATGTTTTATTGAAGGGTTACTACAAAGTAATGAGGATGGTTTTTAAATAAACCAGAATCGCACAGCTATATCAGTAGTGTCCACTTCAAAAGAGTCATCTTGGTAGGAGGCACTAATTTTAATGTTGCCCTCAAATCTAAGCATTTAAAAAAAATTCCTCTCTGGCAAATGTGTCCCGTTTTCATCCTTGAAAGGTGAATTTGATTTTATAGAGAATAAAGTCAAGTTTGGTATAAAAACAGGGCCAAGTCTGGAAGGAACAGTACTTTTTGTTTGTAGAATTAACCTGATGCAATTACAAGTAACATAAATGTTTTATTTTGTAGTTTGAAATCTGGTTTCAAAGGCAACTATTAATGAGCAGTTAAAAAAAAAACAAAAAACAACAAAAAACAAAACCCAAACCTTTGAGCATGTAGCCTTGGAAGAATAACCACATTGCTTCCAAAGATTACTGCTTTGAAGCACAACACTCTTTTTGTGTGAGCTTTGGACTATTAACGTACATACTTCAGTTTCATTTCACCTTAGACATGCCAAGAATCAATTGAGCTCTTGTCCCCTATAGTTAAAGTGAGTTTTTGGCTCTCATGCTGGTGTTAGGGACCCCATTTACTCTTTCAGGCCACTGGGAAATTATTTACCACTTCAACAAATGAATAGGGCCCTGAGACACATTGCAAAGAGCATCAGAGTTCTGGGGTCTGAATATGTGAATTCAAGTGTGGTCCCTCCAGGATTAGCTGTGTGATCACAAGCGATTTAACCCTGTCCACTGGTACACCACTCACTTGCAGCAACCGAGAAAGAGCCGCTCTGCTCTCACTCACAGTTTTCAGAGGATTGAATGAGATGCCATGGGCATCAAGCTAAAGTCCTCTCCAAATGCATCATGCTGGACTGGTGCCATCTTCCCTGGACTAGGTCTCAAAGGTGATGGGTCTGCCCCACATCTTTGGAGATTTATTATTTGTAGATTATTTTGCCATTTCTCCTTTTATTTTCCCATCTTTTGTGTATTGTTCTTATTAGCCCTTCCCTCAAAGGAATTAGAGTAGAGCTAAGAAGCATATCAGTCTACTAATCAACTTTTTAGTAACTCCCCAAAAGTTTTGGGCGAAAGAAGGCTATGTCAGACATCCATACCTCTGCTGGTTGTAATTTCTAAAAGACAGCCAAGGAGGTTCATTGCGAATGTAGAGACTAAGGCCAGAGCTCAGTGTGTCCACGCAGATGGACTGTATCACACCCTTTCAGAGCTTCCACACTTTGGACACTCACATGCCCATCTCTTTGCTCCTGGAATCCTTTACAGCCTGATGAGTCATCAATCCACTTCTCTTCCCTTTCTTGCTATTGGAAAGGTAGAATTATAGCACCAAGTGCTCAAATGTGCAGACCTGAACAGTAGAGAAAGTTCAAGGCCAGAGCGCCTATGAAAAGTTTGCACTCCTACTTTCAAAGGCAGTACTTAGCATCTTGGCCTCCAAACTGTGCTGAAATTGAACAATTCCAAGTTCGCAGAAGCCTATTGACAGCTCTTTTAGGAGCTTGTGAGAGGAGGTATTACTGCAAGGTAAGGTGTTGGGAGTATTTCAGGTTTCAAAAGGATACAGTGATTGCAATTAGGAGTAATTAGAAAAACGGACTTTTTAATTTAATTCCCCCCTTTTAAAAAAATGGGATACAGTTGATTTCTCTATAACACTTCTTTCTTGCCCTAGGGACAGTTTAATGGAGGGAATTGTAGGTTTGACCTTTTTTCAAAGTTTCTTCTCTAACTCTGAACAGTTGGATCTCCTCCAATTCTGTGATTTATTGAATTTATTTATATACCACCTGTTTCTAAAGATAAATCAGGCAGTTCCCCAATTCAAGTGCTGTTCTTTCTTTTAAAAAATAGCAAGTGATAGATAGAGTGACTTGCTTCTCCTCGATGTGACTGGTGGCTTGAAGACAGTGTAACCCCAGTCTTCAAATGGGGTTCTTTAAGGCCACCTTTCCTTGTTCATAAATAGCCCACGTGACCAGAGCTGAAATTAGCAGGTGATTTTTCACTTGATGGGTCCTTGAGGGCAACTAAGCAATGGGGCACGTCTGAGGGTTGGTATCACCTAAAATGAGGCTGAAACATTATCAGGTAAAATAGATTGTACTTTGGACCCGCCTGGGTAGCAGGGTCCTCTGGAACTAGAAGACCTGAATCAGTCCCTTGCCAAAGAGGTCTTGTATCCTGAACTCCCTGTCTTTTCCACAGCAGCTGCTACTTTCAGAAGCAGCTGGGAACCTCCCCCTGGGAAGTTCCACACCTTAGGGCATTACAGATTGAACATATGAAGGGGTGGCTGAGTCAACATTAGCACAATTTAAGTGGTAACAGAAAAGGCTTAATTTCCTTCTTTTAAAAACAAATGTCATTTCCTATTGAGTTCTGTTTAAGCTTAACTGGAATTCCCCTTTTCCTCCTCTTTCTTTTTTCAAGGTGGGGCAGGGGAAGAGAACATGAGGAAGGAATAGCTGGGCAGGGGCAGTGGTGCCCTATAAAGGAAGGTGTGGACACTTGGTGGGCAGGACAGTGGGAGAGGGGGTGGGATGGTGCCTGACGTTACAGTTCTTCCTCATTGGGATTTGAAGTTACAGACTAGGTGTGACTCACACTGTAAATAAAGCCCAGGAGCCAGAAGAATTAAGAGAGAATTGAAGTTAACTTACCTGTATATGTCATAAGCCAAGATACAAGAATATTCCACTGCACTAGCACATTTCACCAGGCCAACATGTTCTGCCTGACCAGAGGGCTGCTGCAGATCCATGAGCAGGAGCTATCTTTAATTTTGGGTCTTTCTGAAGGCTGGGTGCCATTTTACCACTTTCATAACAACCCAGAACAAAAATCCAGAATAGGCTGATGAATAACCTATTCTACATTTGCAGATGGTTACTTTGGGCTGGCATTGTGCCAAGAACTTTACAGCCATCATCTCATTTCATTCTCTTTATGAGCTGAATACAATTATTTCCATTTTATGGATGAGAAAGTGAAGACTTGATTCAGGTTTTATAATCTGGTAAATGATTAAGCTAACGTTTGAACCAGGACTATTTCATTCCAGGGTTTGCCTTTTTTTTTTTTTTTTTTTTTTATCCTCACCCGAGGACATTTTTCCATTTTTTGTTCAGATAGAGTGGGAGGGAGAGAGAGAAACAGAGAGAGAGAGAGAAACATCGATGTGAAAGGAACACATCGAGTGGCTGCCACCCTCATGACCAACCAGGACCGGGGACAAACTGCAACCGAGGTACGTGCCCTTAGCGGAAACCGAACCCGGGTCTCTCAGGACCGCAGGCCGACGCTCTAACCACTGAGCCAAACCGGCCAGGGCGGGTTTGCCTTTTTAATCAATGGTGTACTAGTTGCTTCCCTGGCCCCTTTCTCAGCTTGGCCAACTCCCACTCTTCCTTCTTGACAATCAAATATCAACCCCTCTGAGGAGTGTTCCTGGCAGCCCCAAGGAAACTGCAGTGTTGTTGTGTGTTAGCTCTTCCAGTCTGCTTCTTTCAAACACTGGTGAGCTTCCCCAGGCAGATTCTAATCATATTCATCTTGCAGCTCTTTCCCCTTCTTACCACCCTCTTAGCCCTACCTACAGTCTCTAGCTCATAGTGAGTACTTAATTCATTCATTTAATGTCGGATGGATAAAAAAAAAGAGAAAATATAACTGCAACTTTTGCGATTAGTTATTTAAGGAATAACTATCTGAATACAGTCAGGTAATGCCCTTGAAGTAGCCAGGGCAAACTCTCAGAAGACCATGCTTCTGGTCGGACCTGCTCAGACTTCTTGAAGACGGAGGCTGCCCTGGAGATCATCACTTGACCTGCTTTGACTCTGTTCTGTGCCCTGTGCAGTCCTGGAAAAAACTGTGGCATCATTTTAAGGGGTCTTTCTCCCTACATTTGTATCTCTTGCCACAGACACCCCCCACTCTCTGCCATACTAACAGGAAGTCTTCCGCACTCAGAAGGGGTTCACTCTTCTGTCCAAACTTTCTCTCCCTAAGGTGCCCTCCTGTCTTCCTGGGTTTAGCGATATTCCCAATTCTTCAAATGTTCCTCTAGGGACTCTTCTCATTGAGACATTTTATTTTTCCCTCATTTTAAACACTCAAAAAATGTTTTATCTGACCTCTTTGTCAGGATACTTGTCAATCATGTTCAAAATGACAATATTAGGTTGTGATGGGGGTGAACCCGAACAACCTCCGAGAGAAAGAGCTTTCCTAGGCTCTTTTAGGCTATTCACTAATTTACTTTTAACAGTAGGGTGTATTTTATTTTTAAAATCTGTGAACTAGTTAGTGGTCAGTATTTTAATAATCTGATATATTAAATATTAAATTTCAAATGTTAACATTTAGCAAAATTTTGCTTCACAAATTCACTCTTTTAGTAAAAGGCCGAGTGACAGGAAATATGTACAACTTAAACTCCATATTCAGACAAATTCCCTGTTCCCTTCCTCAAAATAAAAGCTTTAAAAAGTGCAGCATAAAAGTTTTAGATGTAAAGGCTCTGCACAGCTCTGTATCACATGGTTGATGTCTTGCTTTAGTAAGAGCAATGAGAATATCCTACACTTCATT